CACCACCACGGCTGGCTAATTTTTGTATTTTTAGTAGAGATGGGGTTTCGCCATGTTGGCCAGACTGGTCTCAAACTCCTGACCTCAGGTGATCTACCCGCCTCGGCCTCCCAAAGTGCTGGGATTACAGCCGTGAGCCACTGTGCCTGGCCCAATATTCTAATTAATTCTTGACGTGACTTTTATCTGAAGCTATTGTGTCTGTCATTTGTTATTCTCCTATTTTGGTTAGAAGAAAGATGACGCTTATAAGTGCCAGTTCTTCTATCCCTCTTAGTTTATGATGTACCCCCATTCCTTAGCCAGTGACATTTCTGGCAGGAAGGACTTAGTCAAGGGCAGTCTTAATCCTGGTTCCAAGACTTAAATGTAAGGAGAACTCGAAATCTTTTCCTGTAGCTGAGTATACTGGGTGGTGACTGGTCTTAGTGTGAGGGCAATTATATTTTAAAGGGGAGTGGGATGTTCACATTCATCCTCCCACTTACAGCATCTTCTCCTCCATTCTCTCATCCATAGCGGCCTTCCTTACCCAGTCCGTTTGTCTAGATGACACAACAGTCAAGTTTGAGATCTGGGACACAGCTGGGCAGGAGCGATATCACAGCTTAGCCCCTATGTACTATAGGGGTGCCCAAGCTGCAATCGTGGTTTACGACATTACTAATCAGGAAACCTTTGCCCGAGCAAAGACATGGGTGAAGGAACTACAGCGACAGGCCAGTCCTAGCATCGTTATTGCCCTGGCAGGGAACAAAGCTGACCTGGCCAACAAGCGTATGGTGGAGTATGAAGAGGCCCAGGCATATGCAGATGACAACAGCTTATTGTTCATGGAGACTTCAGCCAAGAGAAACCCTGTCTCTACTAAAATTACAAAAATTAGTTGGGCGTGGTGGTGCATGCCTGTACTCGGGAGGCTGAGGCAGGAGAATCTCTTGAATCCAGGAGGTGGAGGTTGCAGTGAGCTGAGATCGAGCCACTGCACTCCAGCCTGGGCGACAGAGCAAAACTCAGTCTCAAAAAATAAAAAAAAAAAGAGGGTCCTTGCTTATGTGTAGAGGAGTTAGATTGGGGCAGGGGGTAGGGGGCAGAAAACGGGTTCTTGAAATAGCAAATAAGAGTACAAATTATGCTTGCAAGTGCTAAGAAGATAGATAATGAATTATCAGAGACCTGTGGTTTCAGTGAGGGAAGACCACCTAGAAAAGGTGAATTTTGAGACTCACTTTAAAAGGTGATGGATATGGATTAGCAGTCATTCCAGCCTACTCATTCTCTTCATGTTTTCCTAGGAAACCTTTGCCCGAGCAAAGACATGGGTGAAGGAACTACAGCGACAGGCCAGTCCTAGCATCGTTATTGCCCTGGCAGGGAACAAAGCTGACCTGGCCAACAAGCGTATGGTGGAGTATGAAGTAAGATGGCCCATGGAGTTCCTCTCTTAACACTTCCTCTGTTCCTGGGACCTTTTATTCTCCAAACCAGCCCTCTCTGAATTCAAACATCAACTGAGGACATTCATTGTCTCATTCCCCAGTTCTACACCAAGTTAAATACAGCAACACTGTGACCCTAATCACAGCCAGGAGATTTTTAGAGGAGTCAGGAGAAAATTCCAGAGCAGAGGGTTAGGGAAGTACCAGCTGTGGGGGTACCAGTGTGAAAACGGGAAGGAGGGAGCAATTAAATTTGAGGTAAGGGACTATTCAAGTGTCAGAATCCAAAAGCCCCCAACTAACTTACCCTTTCCCCTATAATTAAGCTTTCTGACATTTGTGTGTTGGACTGAGTGGACATGGGGTCATCTTGAGGGAGTTGTCATTAAGTTATGCATCTGGGCTAGCTGGCTCGAAGGGGTATTAATTAAGGGGAGGGAACCTAGGATTTTGCCTAGCTGTTGTGCTAGGGAGTGGAAAGGCAATACTCATTCCCACCCTATATTCTGAGCACCAATACCCCCCACTCCTTGCAGGAGGCCCAGGCATATGCAGATGACAACAGCTTATTGTTCATGGAGACTTCAGCCAAGACGGCTATGAACGTGAATGATCTCTTCCTGGCAATAGGTAAGGTCAGAACATCCTGAGATCTTCCTTTTTCCCTCATTTATAGGCAAAATTATAGCTAACCCAAATCAAGGATAGGTGCAAGTATCTCCTTTTGCAAAAACTTTAGGTATGAAAATATCTTAACTTTCTGTTGTGACCTCCATCCTTGGCTGCAGCTTTAGCTCCCTTGTCTTCAATGTGTAAGTTTGCTGGCTGGGCATGGTGGCTCAGGGCCGGGCACCATGACTCATGCCTGTAATCCCAGCATTTTGGGAGGCTGAGGCGGGCGGATCAAGGATTTAGCCACAGCCAAGGCTAGGGAATTTAAAAATGAGGTCGGCAAAACGGGACGGGAGCTTATTCTTCTTTCCTTTCCAGGTTTCACACTCAAATTTTGCATATTCCATTCCCATGTCTTTTCTTAGCTTCCTTTTAAATAGGTATGATCTTATTTTCCACTGGGTACAGATTCTGTTCTTTTCCTCGTTGCTCCCATCCGCCCTGTTTCTTTTCCCTTATTGTTAAATATCT